TTTCTTTTTTTTTGTTTTAAGAAAAAAAAAGAAAAAAGAAAAAAAATAAAAATAAAAAAAAAAAAAAAAAGGGGGCCCGGGGGAGGGATATTTTCCTAGGAGGGATGAAAGGCCAGAAATCCCCTCCGCGCCCAAGAGGACTCGACACCGCTAGTAGCGCAGATGCAGCATGGAACCCGTGCCATACCCTACCCTTCATGCCAGTAAACCAGCAATCTGGGATAGCAACCTCACATCTGCCGAGCTACCTCGGTGGACAAAAGAGAGGGCGGCCGGATATCCGCCACAAAGCATACCCTCCTTCAGCCACCACCCCCGAATCCGAAAGGTGGCTGTCCAGAGCTACACCCGTCGCCCAAAAGACACCCAAAGCTACTCCGGGATACCGGAGAGGGATCGGACATCCCTAGGCAATCCAGATTCCACGGCAAACTAAACGCCACCGCCAAGAAACCTCAACGGAATGGGATGGACCCCGGTGTCCTTTCTCCTACCTAGGAACTAGCGCGCCTGTGGGAGAAATCCCAAAGGACAAAAAGAGGAAGGGCAAAAGGGAGGAGTGGGGAGGAGGAGGAGGAAAGGAAAAAGGGGAGGATGGGGAGGATGGGATAGGGGAGGGGAGATTGGGGGGTAATTAGGTTCGGTCTGAGGAAGAAGACCGATAGGTCTAATTCCTCAGACCAAGAGCCTCTTCACCACGCTCCTTGTGCTAAGCAACTCAGATTTATCACCCAATTCACGGAAGAGCTGAACCGAGATCATTTAATGCCACGTCAGAGGTTAGAGAGAGAGAGGAGGAGTGTTGAAGGAACATCAGGAGAAAGTATGGCATGGGGATCACATGTAGACAATGACAAATGCTGACGTAGAAATAAAGACAAGGGTAAGAGAATCCTTTTATTACAACATTTCACACAAAGCTGGGCTTTATACTTGATAAAGCCCAGCTTTATGTAATAAAAATCTTATCTGCTACCAATATCTATAGAATTTCCATGGGTGGTCAAAGTAGGTAAATGTCATGTAAGACTGCCAGAGAGGAGGGCTGACAAAGTATGTATGTTAGGATGTTTAAGGTGGTGCCTGAATTATATTATTTGTGCTATATTATAAACAGAATAATAACTCAAGAGATACTGAACTCATTCATATAAACTAACAGTTATGGCAACAGTGTGTTTTCCTAATTACTGAAAGGTCTGGCACAACTGCCAAGTACATATAACAAAAGAATGTATTTGGTCCAGCTTGACAAGGCATTATAGTGTGTGCTGAGAGGCTGTGCATCATTTATTTATTTTCTGGCATGTAAATATGGAATGCAAGAATAAAGTTTGTACGATAATCAAGAAATGCTTATTACATAGAAGGCCACGACCATTAATAAGCTTAAAATCTGTCTAATCAATAGATATAATCTCTTAATGATTCTATATTTTACAGGGCACTACACAAAAATATGGTTCCATCACATATCGACAGTACAAGATGAGAGACGCGTATATGTTTCAGGTTCTTGGTCTCTGTATCAAGCTCCATCAAACCATAAACAATTATGCATCATGAGAATTTTTCAATGCATTGTTAACTGTGCTGATTGCAAACAGCAACTACAAATCATACAATGAGATACTGTACAGATAAAAACAGGGCATTGCTCAAGAATGAACTTGCATAATGCAAATCAGCATAAAGCAAAGATCTATATTTCATACATTTATGTTTATCTAATAGCATTAACCATACATATTTCTGATTTTAATCCTTAAAAATTTAATTCAGAGTGACTCAAGAAATCTTAACATGATTGCAAATAAACCATGGAATGAGTGGAGTTTAAACCCATAGGACTTGCTCGCCATGGGTTCAACCTGGCGAGTTCGCTATGGGTTCACGGTACAGGTAGGGTTACCACCCGTACCGTGGTAATCCCACCTGTACAGTGGTAACCCCACCCATACTGTGGTTAATTCAGAGCCCATCCTAACTTATGGAATGAGTAGGGATTGAACCTGGAAAAAGGCAGCCCTAAAGCTATGAAGCCAATGTTCTTAGTCACTAGGCCATTACATGTACAACTTGCTTCTGATTGTTGCTAATGATTTTCTCAACTCACATCCTAACTTGTTTAACACTGAATCAATTGTTTAATGTTTCATCATATATTTAATAAAGCATTTAAATATCAATTTCATATGTTTATATTGCAAGAAAATATGCTTAACAGACTACAAATTACATTTATGTACACACAGCTTTGTATTTCATTGAGAAGGGAAGCATAATTCTCACATTATACTTATAAGGAACACAGCCAAGCACTCTGCTATCAGAGAAGGACGGGAGAATTTCTGAACATTCTGGTCTAGTCTTCATGCACTAGTAATATGTTAAATATAGTTCTGCTCATTATAAAAATAAAATAAATTAAGAATAAGGACGGAACTTTTACAGCACATAGTATAGGAAAACCAAGGAGTTGTAGTTGATAGAGAGACAAGCAGCAACTGGAAACTTTACTATTATGTCTCACTTGCATACCAGGTTTTATCTTGCATGACAGACTCAATAAAACCTGCCATGCAAGTGAAGCATCTTAATAGTTCCCATGTTCTGCTTGTTTTTTTTTATCCACTATAAGGACGGAAATGGTCAACACACTTTTAGTGATGACAATACCTGTATATCTACCTAAAGGGTATTCCGAGGATTAATGCCCCCTGGCCCAGTCCATGACCAGGCTGATCTTCTGACTAGATCTTCTCTGCACTTCTTTCAAATATACATTTCATGCTATCATAGTAGTTAAAGCATTTAAACTTGGAACCAAATTGCAACCATTTTCAAATTTAACCAATTTTAAATTGATACTGCATCAAATTAAAACTTAAAGAGATATCAACGGTGTACTATAATTCATTGATTATAGTAATATATAAGGGCTGAACACATTCCTTGCAAATCACTGCTTATGAATACTTTCGAAGTTTTCTTTAATTTGATTGGTGAGCCATTCCACACCTTCATGCAAGCCATCTCCAGTGATGGCATTTGAAGCAGTAATGTGCCAAGGCTTGTCTGTAATTCGCTCTAAGCCTAGAGCTGCCGAGACCTTAACACTGCTCACTGCTTCACGCATATCCATCTTGTTAGCAAAAAATAAAATAGGGAGACGGCGATTACGAATCTGAAAATGGCATTAGATTTCATTAATTGAATGCAAAATATAACAGAACAATTTTAATACCTAATATGTACTGTGTATAAACAGTAAAATTTAAGATTAATCCTTTCTAAAATGACAGAGAATCTTTTTTGAAGGTAATGACACCAAAAATACAAAATCTGATGGAAAATTTATGGAATTACACAAGTGCAAAGTTGACAGTCTAGGCACAATTTATGCACTAGCAATTTTACCCACTTTGAGGCCTATTTAGGTCAATTACATTGCTCAAACCAACCCATTTCCTGGCTATTTTGCTAGCATGCATTTCATTCTATTGAGCACAAAAAACTGCCTGATCAACTATAAGAAGTACCCTATAAAGTATGCAGAAGTTGGTAATTTAGAAAATTTTACACAAAATTCAACAAATTCTAATTTAAAAACAATCTAACAAACATTGTAGGCATTCCAGCTACTACAGTAACCTTTCCTCCATTTTAAATCCATCACAAAAAAATTGAAATTTTATCCTATTTCTCAGCTAATAAAATATAAGTAAAAACTGCTGGTCATGGTTTAAACCATCCCAATAGCTGAAGCAGACCTGGTAAACACCCATAAAATAAACTGGTAAGGGTGAGTTTAGCAGCACCCCCCTACCCATCCTTAGAAAAATTGCCAAAAATCAAATATTTCTGCCACTTTGAGACCTGTTTCAAGTCACTTCTGGTCAGAAACTGATCAAAATCATCTCCATTTCATTAGAATGTTTTCCATTCTATTAAATGATACCCAGAAGCAGCCAATAAAACCATGAAAAGACCCTAGAACATGATTCAAAATTACAATTTTAAACCATCACAAGGTCAGAAATTAGCTATTCCCATCATGCACTGCATGGGGAAGGATTTTTTTTATATACTCTGCACACCCACAGTATAGCTTCCATTCACTCATGTCTTGGAAGGTTCCTTGATGCTGGTGAGGGGCATCAAGGAAGGTTCCTTAATGCTGGTGAGGGGCTCTTGATCTAGGAAATTGGATCTGTGTGCCAGTTCCCTGAATTAAGCCTGAATACCTTCATCCTACCTCCCCCCCACAGGTGCTGTATAATCCTTATGTTTAGCAATCCCCATGATAATAATTACCTCACAGCATAACTGAAAGGTGCTATGATTATGATGTAGATCTATGCAAGAGAGAGAGAGTTAATACAGTACAGTGGACCCTCGCCTAACGCTATTAATCCGTTCCTGAGAGCTCAATGTTAGGCGAAATTATTGTTAGGCGAATTAATTTTCCCCATAAGAAATAATGGAAATCAAATTAATCCGTGCAAGATACCCAAAAGTATGAAAAAAAATAATTTTTACCACATGAAATATTAATTTTAATACACACAAACTGAAGAAGACATGCACAGTTACATGATACTTACCTTTATTGAAGATCTGGTGATGATTGATGGGATGGGAGGAGGGGAGAGTGTTGATGGTCTTAGTGTTTAGAAGGGAAATCCCCTTCCATTAGGAATTGAGGTGTCAAGTCCTTTTCCGGGGTTACTTCCCTTCTTCTTTTAATGCTACTAGGACCAGCTTGAGAGTCACTAGACTTCTGTCGCACAACATATCTGTCCATAGAGGTCTGTACCTCTCGTTCCTTTATGACTTTCCTAAAGTGTTTCACAACATTGTCACTGTAATAGTCACCAGCACGGCTTGCAATAGCTGTCTGAGGGTGATTTTCATCCATAAAGGTTTGCACTTCAAGCCATTTTGCACACATTTCCTTAATCTTTGAAGTAGGCAACTTCTTCAATTTCTCTCTCCCCTCCTCCGAAGCAGTTTCCTCAGGTGTGGCCTCTTGCTGTTGAAGATGATCTAGCAGCTCATCAGTGGTTAGTTCTTCATTGTCCTCCTCCACCAACTCTTCCACATCCTCCCCACTAATCTCCAACCCCAAGGACTTCCCCAATGCCACAACTGATTCCTCAACTGGCATACGCTTCTCAGGGTTAGCCTCAAATCCTTCAAAATTCCTTTGGTCTACACATTGTGGCCACAGTTTCTTCCAAGCAGAGTTCAAGGTCCTCTTAGTCACTCCCTCCCAAGCCTTACCTATAAGGTTTACACAATTGAGGATATTAAAGTGATCTCTCCAAAACTCTCTTAGAGTCAATTGAGTTTCTGAGGTCACTACAAAGCACCTTTCAAACAGAGCTTTTGTGTACAGTTTTTTGAAGTTTGCAATAACCTGCTGGTCCATGGGCTGCAGGAGAGGAGTGGTATTAGGAGGCAAAAACTTGACCTTAATGAAGCTCATGTCCCCACAAAGTCGCTCTGCCAAGTCTGTAGGATGACCAGGGGCATTGTCTAACATCAGGAGGCACTTAAGGTCTAATTTCTTTTCAGTTAGGTAATTTTTCACAGTGGGGGCAAATGCATGGTGTAACCAGTCATAGAAAAAGTCCCTAGTGACCCATGCCTTACTGTTTGCCCTCCACAGCACACACAAACTAGCCTTGAGGATATTCTTTTGCCTGAATGCTCTGGGAGTTTCAGAGTGATACACCAATAAAGGCTTCACTTTGCAATCACCACTAGCATTGGCACACATTAACAGAGTAAGCCTGTTTTTCATAGGCTTATGTCCTGGGAGTGCCTTTTCCTCCTCAGTAATGTAGGTCCTGCTTGGCATTTTCTTCCAAAACAGGCCTGTTTCGTCACAATTAAACACTTGTTCAGGTTTCAGTCCTTCACTGTCTATGTACTCCTTGAATTCATGCACATATTTTTCAGCTGCTTTGTGGTCCGAACTGGCAGCCTCACCATGCCTTATCACACTATGTATGCCACTACGCCTCTTAAATCTCTCAAACCAACCTTTGCTGGCCTTAAATTCACTCACATCATCACTAGTTGCAGGCATTTTTCTAATTAAATCGTCATGCAACTTCCTAGCCTTTTCACATATGATCGCTTGAGAGATGCTATCTCCTGCTATCTGTTTTTCGTTTATCCACACCAATAACAGTCTCTCAACATCTTCTATCACTTGCGATCTCTGTTTCGAAAACAAAGTTGCACCTTTGGGAAGAACAGCTTCCTTGATTGCCGTTTTCTTGGCCACAATAGTAGCGATGGTTGATTGGGGTTTACTATACAACCTGGCCAGCTCGGAGACACGCACTCCACTTTCATACTTAGCAATGATCTCTTTCTTCATATCCATAGTAATTCTCACCCTTATTCCTGTAGGGTTGGCACTAGAAGCTTTCTTGGTGCCCATGGTCACTTATTTTGCAGGTGAAATCACTAAAAACGCTGTGATAATACGAAATGTTCCGATTGTATGTTTGGATGTGACTTGTAAACACTGCCACCCGCGGAACAAGTGAGGCTGGCTCAGGCCGCACATGGACGCGTCTCAGACGAATCGCATTGAGCGAGTTTTTTAGCGCTAGGCGAGGCAAAATTTTTGCGTTAAAATGTATCACTAGGCGGATTTAACGATATGTGATGCCATCGTTAGGCGAGAGTCCACTATAAACATGTGAAAGAGGACGACCATGATGGCAATGACAGTATTTATTTCCAGGAAATATAGTATACAACTGTTGCAAGAATGGGTGAAAATTTATACAAATTGTTGGAAAGCCTCTGTACATGCAGAGCATTTCAGGCTGAATTTTAAATATCACAGTAAGACTAACAAACTCAGAATATTAAAATAATGCATCTGAATGTAGTTTTTTCAAAGTGTATCATGCCAGTATAAAATTGTTAGGAATGAATAGAGAAAATTAATGCATCGGATTTGGAAAGGCATAAGTGTTAAGTTTTTCAATCGTCAAACAAGATAGCAGAATACCGAATCTCTCACAATAACATAGCACTGGAAACCAAGTACGTATGAGCCAAAGCTGCTACACAGCCACATCAGAAAAAGACAACTGTCTACTGTGCAGGGAATGCCAAGGATGAGGTTTCGGGAAGCTTCAGTCTCTCTAAGCCTCTCCCATCCATCCTCATTATGAAAATCATCAGTTATTCAGCGTATTCTTAGGTATAAATCTTCGCCTGCACCAGATATGGGTCAATATATAATAAAAAGGCACAATACTGTAATTAGAACAATAAAATAACCCACTTATGAAGAGGTGTATTAAAATGTTCATGAAAGAACATAAGAGCTGAGGGACACTGCAGCAGGCTTACTGGTCCATACTTAACCCTTTGACTGTTTCGGTCATATATATACGTGTTACGAGCCAATGTGCTTGACGTATATATACTCAAAAATTCTATCGGCTTCAAATCAAGCAGGAGAAAGCCGGTAGGCCCCCATGTGAGAGAATGGGTGTGTGATCAGTGTGTGCACTATAAAAAAAATCCTGCAGCACGAGAAAAAAAATTGACCGTGTTTTTGGATTAAAACGCCGACTTTGAGGTGTATTTTCCTATAGTATTTATGGTTATATTTTTGTTTTCTTGGTCTCATTTGATAGAATGGAAAACATATTATAGAAATAGAAGTGATTTTGATTGGTTTTACTATGAAAAGAATCTTGAAATGGAGCTCAAAGTGGCAGAAATGTTTGATTTTTGCCAATGTTCAAGAGTAAACAAATGACATCATTGTCCAATAAATGTCCAACAAGCCATTCTAATATGCAGTCAAGAATGGGTTGACGTTATTTATATAATTATTACAATATTGCAGTAGTCTGCATAACAGTAAATCTTCTATCTTTTGTGTGAATAAAAATTCAAAACAGAAAGCAAGAGTATTATAACGGGCCTGGAGACATGACTGATGAACAGAGAAAATTATTTTAGTGCCAGGAATGTCTGCATTGTTCATTCTGGACCCTATTTTGAAATTTACATTTTTTAATTTGCAAGAAAATGGCCAAACTACCAATTTCTGACCACTTTATTGGGTAGTTGAAATTGGTAAATGGGTGGTTTCTTGTACTCAATCGATAGAACAAATGGAGTTCTAAAGAAATTGCTATG